CTTGAAGTATGATTGACAAAAATTGTTGATATTTAATATGCACATTGTGATTTTTTGATATACGTATACACTATGGAATGATTACCACAATCAAGCTAATTAACATACCTATCACTTCACGTAGGTGTCGCTTGTGTGTGTGATGAGAATGCCTGAGATCTACCTTCTTAGCAACTTTCAAGAATATAATTCATTATTAACTACAGTCACCATACTGTACATCAGCTCTCCAGAACTTACTCATCTTATAACTCACAACTTGTATCCTCTAACCAACATCTCGTTTCTCCCAACCACCGGTAGCCACCGTTCTCCTTTCTGTTACTATGAGTTTGACTTTATTATTTTATTTTTTATTTTTTTTAAAGAATTCATTTATTCATGAGAGAGAGAGAGAGAGAGAGAGAGAGAGAGAGGCAGAGAAGCAGGGTCCCTGCAGGGAGCCCAATGGGGGACTTGATCTCAGGACCCTGGAGGTCACGCCCTGGGCTGAAGGCAGATGCCTAATGGACTGAGCCACCCAGGTGCCCCATGTTTCACTTTTTTAGAGTCTACAGATAAATGAGATAATACATTGTCTTTCTCTGTCTGACTTATTTCATTTGGCATAAAGTCCTCTAGGTTCACCCATGTTTCCGTGTCCTTGCAAATGGTAGGATTTCCTTCTTTTTTAGGGCCGAATTTTATATACATATATAATTCTTATATAAATAATGATGATTATATAGAAACATGATGCTAGTACATAAACACATATCTATATATACATCTCGATAGATAGATGACCTTTATCCATCTATCCATCAACAGACACGGGTTGTTTTCATGTCTTGACCACGGGGAATAATGCTGCAATGAACATAGGAGCGCAGATATTGCTTTGAGATAGTGATTTTATCTCCTTTGGTTAGATACCCGGTTGGGAGATTATTGGATTATCTGGTTCTTTTATGTTTTTTTAAAATTTATTTATTCATGGGCAGCCCGGGTGGCTGAGCAGTTTAGTGCCACCTTCAGCCCAGGGCGTGATCCTGGAGACCCAGGATTGAGTCCCGCGTCGGAATAAATAAATAAAAATCTTTTAAAAATTTTATTTATTCATGAGAGACACAGAGAGAGAGGCAGAGACACAGGCAGAGGGAGAAGCAGGCTCCCTGCAGGGAGCCCGATGCAGGACTCAATCCCAGGACCCCAGGGTCACGTCTTAAGATGAAGACAGATGCTCAACTGCTGAGCCCCCAGGTGTCCCGGTACTTCAATTTTTAATTTTTCAGAAACCTCCGTAATACTTTCTACAGTGACGGTACCAACTTACTTTCCCATCAACAACATATGGAAGGTTCTCTTTTCTGTACATCCTTGCCAACACTTGCTATCTGTTGACTTTTTGATAATAACAACCCCAACAGGTGGGAGGTGATATCTCATTGTGCTTCTGATTTTCATTTCCATGATGATTAATGATGTTGACCTTTCCCTATACCTGTTTCATTAGCCATTCTTAAGTCTTTTGTGAAGACTCTGTTTAAGTCTTTGCCTTAAATTTTCTTGGGTTGCTTTTCCACTTATTGAGTTATAAGAGTAATTTTTATGTATTTCAGGTAAACAGCTTTTGTCAGATATATTTGTTGTATTTTTTCTCGAGTAGTGGCTTGTCTGTCATTCTCTTAAGTGTCATTTGACAGAAGATTTTAATTGTAATTATCAAAATTTCTTTATAATTGCACATGCTGTGTTTCACCTAAGATATTTTTGCCTACCTCAAAGTTGCAAAGAATTTCTCCTCTGTTTCTTCTAGAAGTTTTAGAGTTTGGGGTTTTGGAGTTAGGTCTATGTTCATGTCAAATTCAATTTATTTGTGATGTAATGTAGACGTCAAAGTTCATCTTCTATTTTGTAATCTCATCCACCTTTGAAAACACAATCTTTTACCCCATTGAAGACCAACTGACTACATATGTGTAGTCTACCTCTGGACTCTGGATTGTTCCATGGATCTATTATGTCTTTTTATGCTAATACCACACTGTCTTAATTAAGGTAGCTTTGTGATTAAAGTCTTGCAACTAGGCAGTGCAAATCCTCCAACATTTTTCAAATTACTTTGGCAACTTTGATTGTAATTCTACAGAAAATTTAGAATCAGTAAAACCATTTCCAGAAAAAAAAAAGACTGTAATTGTGATTGCAATTTCTTTGGATTGTAATTCTACAGAAAATTTAGAATCAGTAAAACCATTTCCAGAAAAAAAAAAGTGTAATTGTGATTGCAATTTCTTTGGATATATAGATAGATTTGAAGCATGGATATCTTAACAATATTGCCTTTCAACCTGAGCATATTTGTTTATCTGTATTCCTAAGTATTATAACTGTCTGTAATACTGTAAATGGCATACTAAAAATATCATTTCACAATTATCTGACACTACTATATAAACACACTAGTTATTTTTGTATCTGGACCTATCCTGAAACATTACAAACTTTTAGCATTATTTCTAGCATCATAGATGACTTGATCTTCCTTCAGAGAAGACTTACTTTTGCTTCTGACAGACGGCGAGGGCATCAGTATTCCCATATCATCTTTGCATATTAAGAATTCTTATGATTCAAAGGTGGTCTACAATTTCTGAAAGGGTGACCAATTTCTAGTTTGACTTTATTCTTAGAGTTTAGTACTTTGAGGTTCCAACCCAAAGCCTGAGGATCTAGGTTTATCAGAGAAACTTTTCTTTAGTAAGCTGAATTACAATTTTTTATTCTCAACTAATTGTTTGCAAGATTTTAACTATATGCCTGGAATAAGAAGCCATTGCTAGGATATAAACACCTAAAATGCCAGTCTAACTTTCCTGGGCTTTTTTTTTTTTCACTTTGTAATTCTTCACTGCATTTTTAGCTCTCCTTGTCTTGAAATAAATGCTTGAAATAAATGTCCCAGGTCTGAATTACTCAGTCTACCGTTACCGGAAACTTCAACTTATTTTTTAAATTTCAACATGAGCAATTCCTCTGCATAATTATCCTCTCACATTTGCCTTTTTTGAAGGATCACTTGAAAACTTGGAAATAACACTTATGCTGTGCTGTATTAACATTCTTGAACTTTTATTTTTTTTTTAATTTTAATTATTTATCCATGAGAGACACAGAGAGAGGCAGAGACATGGGCAGAGAGAGAAGCAGGCTCCATGCAGGGACCCCGACGTGGGACTCGATCCCAGGACCCTGGGGTCACGCCCTGAGCTGAGGGCAGACACTCAACCCCTGAGCCACCCGGGCGTCCCATTCTTGAACTCTTTAAGTGTGTATATATTCTCAGTGCTCTACTTTTTTTTGGTATCAAGAGTTACCAAAGAAAGAAAGGACTGACTCGTAGCCTCAACTGTGACCTTGAAAGTGATGCATCTTCTCTTAGATGCATTCCCACAATCTATGTATATGTTTTTTTCTCACTATGCGTATTTCACTTATTTTTTTGTATGACATTTTCTAAAGGCCATAAGCATGTGTGAAGCACAGAGTTAGCAACTTCAGAGCAAACCAGATTTGACTTGGTTTTCAACCTCCATTTTGCTTGGGGCAGGAAATTTAATTTTCCAGTTCAGGAAATTATAGATTTTTCCCCCTGTCTTTATGTGGTAAACTTACACTCAATTCTAGAATTCTTCCTTTTCATCTTGCTGTCCCCAGGGGTTAAGAAAAGCCCATGGAGTTCTGCATTATTGAGGAGTCGGAAGGACTAAGGCCTAAGTCCTTGTACGTGATGTGCCCTGTACCGGCTGCCGACACCCATCCCTCGCCGTAGCCTGTGGCTCCTCTAAATACCTGTTGCATTTACTGACAGCATCACTTCAGCTCAAATCCTAGGCTTCTTCCCACCTCTGTTGAACACCTCTACATTTTTCTGGTGTGCAGGAGACTCTTTCGTGCACTAAGCTGGGAGGCTGCCATCAGATTTGTTTACCCAGAAATATGCCTCAGCCATTATTACTCTGTTTATAATTTTTTTTTTTTTTAGGATTTCATTTATCTGGGATCCCTGGGTGGCGCAGCGGTTTAGCGCCTGCCTTTGGCCCAGGACGTGATCCTGGAGACCCCGGATCGAATCCCACGTCGGGCTCCCGGTGCATGGAGCCTGCTTCTCCCTCTGCCTATGTCTCTGCCTCTCTCTCTCTCTGACTATCATAAATAAATAAAAATTTTAAAAAAAGGATTTCATTTATCTGAAAGAGGGAGAGAGAAAGCGAGGGAAAGCATGGAGGGAGGGGGTGCAGAGGGAGAAGCAGACTCCCCACTGAGCAGGGAGGCAGATGCAGATGTGGGGGGGCTCCATCCCAGGACTCTGGGGTCATGACCAGGGCCAGAGGAAGATGCTTAACTGACTGAGCCACCAGGTGCCCCTACAACCATTGCTCCCCTTTACACACACCTGCTGGAAAGGAAGTGAGATACTACCCTTCGGTGGCTTTTACACTCTACTTCTGAAGCTTGGCCAGAAGTGGGCGGAAGCAGCAACATTACACTGGCATCCAGGCCCTCCTTCTTCTCCTTTTCCTTCCTCAGACTCCTTTGCACAGCTCAAAAGTGTTTCTACTCTTCATTCAGCATAGAGAAAAATTAGCTTTCGTATCAGCAAGCTTTCTCCCAAACGCTTTTTATATCTTACATGCTCATATTTCTTTGAAGAAAAGAAAACAGCTTTCTCAAAAAAGTCATCCCTTGCAATTGAAAATGTTTCAGACTCTGCTTTTAGTTGCTTATATTGCATCTAGACATTCAACAGCCTGCTTTGGGCTGAGTTACAATCCGTTACTTCCCCCTTATGGAATAAATGCCACTGATTTAACAAATAGAAGGCCCGGGGCAGCAAAACAAATAGGGAAAAAAATCCAGACTTTATTTAAATAACTGGGAAAACATACAGAGCAAGAAAAAAATGATTGGATTTTAAGAGAAATTTTATAGCTCCTTCAACACCAAGTACCGTATCTTTATAGACTGCCTCGGATAATGTCAACGATTTCATGGTAAACTTGCTGATATACATCTAATCTGAACAAAAAGTCAATATGATTGTAGTAAGAAATAGTTTTATGGTAAATATGGTGTGTAATTTCAGAAAGCAAATTCTCCACGTCTTCAGGATCGGCCACCAAGTCATTGCCTCCATTCCAAGTTGCTGTTGACACATTCATGTCTGTCACATTATAAAATGGAGGAGTGGCCTAAATGCAAACGAGTAAAAATAAGACAGAAAATGATACATGGAAGGTGTTCTTTACTAATTTTTAAGTGATGAATTAATGCAATTATTAAATCAACTCAGTCTAAAATAATTACCACTATGGAAGCAATGCATTTGAAAGAATCGGTATTACGATATTCTACTTAGAAATAGATCAGATACAAATCAAAACGAGACAGTTTGCTCTAATTCAGGGTATGCAGACATTCCACAGAGATAATTTCACTTTTATTTATAAAGCATGAAGGTATTTTAATCAAAAGTTTCTGTGGCTGTGTAACTGGCAATATGCTTATTAATAAATAGCAAATATTGGCAGTCGAAGTTAAATCTGATCGTATTGATTTTTATCTTTCTACAATCAAAACTCTGGAGTTTTACACAAGCAGACCAGGTCAGGCATGGAGTTTAGCGAAGGCAGAAAAGTATGGTGAACAGTGTAACTTTGAAGACGACAGACAGGTTCTAATTCTTCAAGATTTCTGTCATCCTCCTCATACAATTTTTACCACCTTCTCAGTGACTTTTATCTTTTCCCTCATTATTATGGGTTTGTCTTATCTTCCCAAATACAGTTAATAGTTTTAGGGTCAAGAACCATATTATGCCTTTTCTTTCTTCTTTAGCCAACCACAGAGCTATGCATATTATGCACACAGTGTTTCTTCTTGGGGGAGGATGAACTGCTCTATAGCCTGTAAACTTCCCCAGGCTCATCCAAGATATTTGTTGTTGAAACATACAGAAAGCCTGGAAAAGCTCATTGGGTTGGATGTGACAATATGGATCCAAACCATGGCGATCCTCATCTGTTGGTCCTTCTTACCCTGTTGTCCTCTTGGACTTTACATGAGCCTTTTTCTGTAGCAACATCCTCTGAACTGATCAAAGGGATCATTTTTAGCCTATACATAATTATGTACCTGATTAAAATGAACCAAGTTCAGAGCAGGGCTGCCCCAATCAAAAGCTCTCAAGTGACTGGAATTAAAAAGCTGAAAGAAAAAAATTTAAAAGCAAGATGACACTCCTTTGTTTGTTACAACGCAGCTGGTAAAGTGAGGTGCTCATTGGACGTGCCGCCCATCTGTCCCCGGCCTGCTGGTCTAGGTGCAAGGGGACCTCCTCACTCCTCCCTTTCTCTGTACAGGGCAAGAACTGGGAGTGGTGGCAGGTGGGAGGAGGGGAATCTACAGACTATGACTCTATCATCTTTATATAAATGCACAAATCCCCAAGGCCTTTTACCTTGTTAAAGGGGGCCTGTGTGCTTAGGGCCTCATCAGCCTTCCCCAGAAATCCTCAGCCCCACGCAGAGAGGTCAAAAGTGAGTGTCTACTGACGTCTGGGCGGCTCAGTCGGGTTGAACGTCCAACTCTTGGTTTCCGCTCAGGTCCTGATCTCAGGGTTGTGAAACTGAGCCCTGCGATGGGCTTGGTTCTCAGATCAGAGTCTGCTTGAGAGTCTCTCTCTTCAACTCCCTTTGCCCCTCCCCCTGCTCTTTCTCTCTCTCTAAAATAATAAAGAAATCTTTCCCCAAAAAAGTGAGTGTCGAGGACGCAGTGCCCCTGGACTACAATGACACTTCCCTAAACACCCTTGCTTCAAACAACAGTGCTCCAGAGCATGTGCCAGAAGCCACCCCTTGTTTCACCCTCCAAACTTATAGCCTCACCACCACTACCTGCTTTGAGCCTACTAGGTCTAATCTGATTGTGTCCATTTCCCCCCCTAATAATGTTTTCATTGCAGGAAGATTCAGAGTCTCAGGTTACCCATCTTCTCTGGGACTCTAACACACCCCGCATTTTACCTCCTCTCAAGTCCTCCCAACTCCTAAAACTCTCTCGACCATCTGGAATTCCATCGTTGGCCTGTATCTTAGAGCCTGCCTATGGGGCCCCTGGGTGGCTCAGCAGTTGAGTGTCTGCTTCAGCTCAGATCATGACCCCGGGGTCCTGGGATTGAGTCCCACATCAGATCAGGCTCCCTACGTGGAGCCTGCTTCTCCTTCTGCCTGTGTCTCTGCCTTTCTCTGTGTGTCTCTCATGAATAAATAAAAATGAAATCCAAAAACACAACCCACTACCCAATATCCCAAAATCTCTGTATCTTGCTTTTCCATAGCTTCTATCCTCTTCTAAAATTTTAATGATTTATTTATTTGCTATGTTTATTGTTTACTATCTGCTTGTCTGCTACTAGAATGTAAGCTTAAGGAGGATAGGAATATTTATTTAGTACACATATATATACCCTGAGCATAGAATAGTACAGGGCACCTAGTAGGTGCTCAATAAATATTGTTTAAGTGGATGAATAAATGCAAACATTACTTAGATTTTCCTGGCCTAGTTATTGTCAGGAATGACCTAAATCTAAAGATAAGTTAGGGATCCCTGGGTGGCGCAGCGGTTTGGTGCCTGCCTTTGGCCCAGGGCACGATCCTGGGGACCCGGGATCGAATCCCACATCGGGCTCCCGGTGCATGGAGCCTGCTTCTCCCTCTGCCTATGTCTCTGCCCCTCTCTCTCTCTCTCTCTCTGTGACTATCATAAATAAATAAAAATTTAAAAAAAATAAAAAAAGATAAGTTAAAGATTTTTAATTATTTATCTCAAACAATCACCTAGGAGATTTAAACATTTTTAAATGAGAATGCCCTTAAAGTATATCTCAATGATACTTTAAATTCCTAAGTATTAAGTTTAAATAATACTCATAATCATCACCCTATTGAACTCTCATAATATTTTTGTTAGAGCATTATTGTTAACTCCATTTTTAAAATTAAGGAAATTGACTTCGTAAAGATTAAACGAGCTTGCCAATGAGGTTCAGAGAAAGGATTCAGTGTCTGATATTTTGATCTGAAGTATACTGTTCTTTCTAGGGTATTTTCCTGGCTCACAACATTAAGATGATATTCACACTGGATTTTTTTCATCATCAATATCATTCAACAAACGTTCTTTGCGCAGAACTCTTGGCCAAGTACAAAAGTGAATAAAACTTGCTCATGGTCCTCATGGAGCTCATAACTTAACAGAGGAGGAAGTGTAGTCTAGTGAGAGGTGAGGCACTGGGACACCTGTGTTCTAGTCTTAGATGTTTTTTTAAAAGAAATAGCTCTGAGTCTTCGGCCAAGTCAAACGATGAACATGGCCTTGATGATTCCTAGTCTACTATTCTGAATTAACATTTTCTCATTTGTAAAACAGAAAATAACTATATTGCTCTGATCATTGCTTAGGGTTAGAAGACCTAATACATTATGATATTAACATAATTATACAATTATGCAATCATTTCATTTTTTAAAGATTTTTTAAAATTTATGTATTCATGATAGACAGAGAGAGAGAGAGAGAGAGAGAGTCAGAGACACAGGCAGAGGGAGAAGCAGGCTCCATGCAGGGAGCCCGACACAGGACCCGATCCCAGGACCCCAGGACCATGCCCTGGGCCAAAGGTAGGCGCTAAACCACTGAGCTACCCAGGGATACCTGCAATCATTTCATTTTATCCTAAATTTATCATACTATGGCAATGGCATAACTCCTAGAATGATGGCATAAACCATGAGTAGTATAAATAAAATCATATTAAAATGTACTTGAAAAGTTTTACCTGACTCCAGTGTACCATATTTTGAATAGATGTCCCTGCTGGGTTTTGTGACATATACACATCCACACGACTCTGAGGGGTGAAAAAATTATTTTTATACTTAGTCCAACCAGAGAAAGAATGATGTTCAACATTTACTATACTAAATAATTTCAATAAAATGTAAAATTCTTTTTAAATAAATAGTATCAATAAAAAGAGATAAAATTTTATTTTAATCAAATACATTTATTTGTATATACAAATAAATACACTTACTGAATGTGTAATTTTTGTATTAATGTAGAAGCTATTTTTGGATTTCTAGGTTATGTAATTGTCATCCTATACAGAAATCAATCAAGACTCTTAGGACTCACACACACACACACACACACACACACACACACTCCTTTTGAAGGCACTGAAGAACTGAAAAGATAGAAAGAAAATACCAGGAAAAATGGGGGAAAAAAAGAACCACTCAAAAAAGCAAAGGACTGAATCCAGTTTTTCCTTCAAGTTATTTGTCAATTGCTGAAGATCTGAAGTTTCATTTTGAGATTAGCTCAAAATCAGCCCAGGGCCTCCCAAGGGCAGTTAGGAGATTTAAAAAGAAACCCTCTCCATGATTAACTGGGGTCCGAAGTTCTACACACTCCCAGTGAAGCCATCAGCAACACAACAGCCTTCACGTCCATCCGTCATCTAGGTTCCTATTGCCTACAAGGTTCCTGGGAGCCCCCCTCAGTGAACAAGACATACAATGTCAATGTTATCCTATCAAAATCTCAGTAAGTTATCTTAAGGATATCAACAAACTGCTTCTAGGACAGAGAGGCAGAAGACCCAGAGCAGCCAACACAATATGGGAAGGGAAGGACAACGTTGGGGGCCTGACACAACTCGAAGATGTGCTATGAACCTACAGTGATCAGGACTGTGGTATTGGTGAAAGAAGAGACAAATAGATCCACAGAATGGAACAGAGTGCCCCAAAATAGACCCCCCCCCCAAATATAGTCAACAGATCTTTGACAACAGAGAAAGGGCAATACAACAGAGAAACAATAGTCTCTTCAATAAATGGTGTTGGAACAACTAGCTGACCATATGCAATAGGGAAAACAAAAAACAAACAAACAAATAAAAGAATCGAGATACATACCTCACACCCTTCACAAGACTTAACTCAAAATGGAACACAGACCTAAATGTCAATCTTAAAACTATGAAACTCCTAGAAGAGAATCTAGTTGGCTTTCGGTCTTGTGATGACTTTTTCGATAAAACATCAAAGGGACAATCTAAGAAAGAAGTAACTGACGAAGGGTTGCAGAAGGGGAGAGAGGGGTAAGGGGATGGGGTAACTGGGTGACAGGCATTAAGGAGGGCACATGATGAGATGAGCACTGGGTGTTATATTTTGTTGGCAAATTGAATTTAAATAAAATAGTTTATTTTATTTTTTTTTATAAATTAATTTTTATTGGTGTTCAATTTACCAACATACAGAATAACACCCAGTGCTCATCCCGTCAAGTGTCCCCCTCCGTGCCCGTCACCCATTCACCCCCACCCCCCGCCCTCCTCCCCTTCCACCACCCCTAGTTCATTTCCCAGAGTTAGAAGTCTTTATGTTCTGTGTCCCTTTCTGATATCTCCCACACATTTCTTCTCCCTTCCCTTATATTCCCCTTCACTATTAAAAAAAGAAGTAACTGACAAGCTGGACTTGATTAAAGTTAACATCGTCCACTTTACAAAACACAATATCAAGAGAATTAGAAGACAGGCCACAGACTGGAAGAAAATATTTGCAAAAGACATACCTAGGAAGGACTGTTACCCAAAACGTACAAAGAACTCTTCAAACTCTCTTCAAATGAGAACACAAACGACCTGATTTTAAAATGGGCCTAAGACTTAGATGAGTAGATATTTAGGTAGCAGATGACCACGGGAAGATGCTCCGCGTTATATGTCATCAAGGAAATGCAACTTAAAAGAACAATGAGACACTGCTACGTACGAATGAAAATGACAAAAGTCCAAAACACTGACAGCACCACATGCTGGTGAGGATGTAGAGACATCATTCACCGCCGCTGGTGATGCAAAATAGAGCAACCACTTTGGAAGACAGTGGCGTGGTCTCATAAAATAAAGTGTATCCATAGCATACAATCCAGCAATCACGCGCCTTAGTATTTAGCCAAACAAGTCAAAAACATGTTCACACAAAATCTGCACGTGGATGTTTATAGCGCTTTATTCCTAATTGTCAAAACTTGAACCCAAATGTCCTTTTAGTGAGTGGATAGGTAAACAGAGGTACATCCAGACTATTGAATATTTTTCAGCACTGGAAGTAAATGAGCCACCCAGCCATGGAAAGACACAGAGGAACCTTAAATCTTTGCTACTAAGTGGAAGAAGGCCATCCGAAAGGGCTACACACTGTATAATTCCAACTATATGACATTCTGGAAAAGGCAAAAATGGGGAGACAGTAAAAAGATCAGTGGTGTTGCCAGGAGTTGAGTGGGAGAGGGATGAATAGGTGAAGCACAAAAGATTTTTAGGGCAGTGAAACTTCCTATGTGACACTGTAATAGTAGATACATGTAATTATACATTTGCTAAAACCCATAGAATGTGGAAACCCAGAGCGACCATACTGTAAACTACGGATTTGGGGTACTCATGATGTGTCGATGTAGATTCATCAGTTGTAACAAATGTACCGCCCTGGTGGTAACTGCCCAGCCCAAGCTCATCTAGATTTTGTCCTATGTCATCTTCTTGGAGCTTTCTAGTCTCACATTTCATCTTTAGGTCTATGATCCAAATTTGAGTTAATTTTGTGAAGTATAGGAATAAGGTTTGTGTCTGGGTTCATTTTTTTTGCATGTGGATGTCCAGTTCTTCTGATACTGTTTATTGTAGACGCTATGGTTTTTCTATTGCACTGCCTTTTGTCCTATGTCGAGGATCTGTTGATGATATTTATGGGGCTCTAGATCTGGGCTCTCTGTTCTGTTCCATTGATCTCCTTGTTTCTTCTTTCACGAACCCCACACTGTGAGGTTTAATAATAAGTCTTGAAGGTCAATAGTATCAGTTCTCCAACTTTTCTCTTTCCCTTCAATACTGTGTCGGTTACTCTGGGTTTTGCTTCTGCCTATAAACTTTAGAAGTCATCTGTCAATATCCTTAAACTAGCTTGCTGGGATTTTGATTGGGATTGCACTGAACCTGTGGACTAAGTTGGTAAGAACGGACATCTTGACAACTTCTCTTTCTCTGAATGAATAAATTGGTTCTCGCTGAGAAATCATTAAATGGTACAGGTGCAGGAGCCAACCTGGAGTCTAAACGCCACAGCTGCTTCTGCTAAATCTGGGTTTTTAATTTAATGTGCTGAACAAGTATTAGAATGAATGCCTGCATCTGTAACAGCATCTATGCACAGGCAGTCCATATGGCCTTGGGAATAGTAGCCTGAGTACCAAAACAGTCTCCCACTCCAGGAATCTTGATGAACGCTGGAAGCGTGTAAGATAACCAGCAGGCACTAATGTTGATTACAAAAGGGTCAACAAGAAAAGGTACGAGTATTAGGAAGCAGGATATAAGGGCAGGACAACTTACATATAAGAAACTTTGGGAAACTAACACCCAATAGGAACGGCCAATAAAGATACCCATCATAGCACCTCTCTCTGTCCTCTACAGAGAAAAGACAGGTGTGAACACAAAATAATCCCAGAATGCTAATTCTGATTAGGTTCAGGGTGTTGGTCTAGTCACAAAACCAGAAAGGCTAAGAATCTATTAGTGTATGTGGGTAAATCATAAAAATGACACACCAGGCATGAAGTAAGTACTATTAAGAGTTGCTTTCTAATAATTGACAAAGTACATTTCATTTTTTTTTGACGAAATACATTTCAAATTCAACTTGTTCTCGCCATATTTAAGTTCTCACGTCACATCCATACATCATAAACAAGATATCATGGCAAATCTTACCATAATCTTCAGCGGACATAGCTTTGAACCAACAAATCTTTTAAATGAGGTATTAGGGAGGAAGTCTTTGCTGCCAAAAAAAGTCTGCAAAACAGATTCACTCTATTCATATTTGGAAGACCAAAATAATTAATCAAGAAATGGCATGATGAAGTCATTATATTTATAATCAAATGCACTGTCTCCCATTAGTTTAAAACATTTAAATTAGGGAGGTGCCTGGGTGTGGCTCAGTCATTTAGGTGGTTGACTCTTGATTCTGGCTCAGGTCATGATCTCAGGGTTGGGAGATCGAGACCCAGGCCGGGCTCTGGGCTCAGTGCAGTCTGCTTGTCCCTCTCCCTGCCCTCACCCTCCTGTTCAGTCGTATGCTCTCTCTCTCTCAAATAAATAATTCCATAAAATCTTTTAAAGACCATTTAAATTAAGGACAAAACTTGAAAGCAGGAGATAGAGATAAGTTGACTATTGGATTTTCCTTCACAATGAGATGTCCAAAGGTATTATGAGTGCTATCCTACTATTCCTTTGTAAAAACAAAGAATCCAGTGTCAATGAAACCAAAAAATTAAATTCATGTGAATATAGTCAAGACCTTTTATTTTGAAAGAACAAAATTATTGTCACTCTGGATTATCAACTATGAGAAGGAAAGGAATAACATACCTTTATCAATGACCTCCAACTGTATGCCATTTTAATTAAAGGGCTGTTTGAGTTTTTAATAGAAAAAACTGGAGCTAAGGCAAAAAAGACTTTGATTCTTCCAGCGATCTTTGGAATTGTAGAAAATGTTATGAAAGCTGAAAGAAAATAAGACAGAAAAGAACGATTCTTACGCAATCACTGGCATATAAGAAACGACATCATGGCAAGTAAGAGAGCATTCGGTATGCTCTGACCAATTCATTGACTCATTCCTTAATTCCCTTATCAAACAAGTGCCGATCGCCCAGCCTGAGACATGCACATTGATCACAACATGATGCTGATGATTAGTATTAAAAACAATGTATATTTTTTATATTCCCCAAATGAATGAGACCATATAATGTTTGTCCTTCTCCGATTGACTTATTTCACTCAGCATCATACCCTCTAGTACCATCCACGTTGAAGCAAATGGTGGGTATTTGTCGTTTCTAATGGTTGAGGAATATTCCATTGTATAAAAAATAGTGAAAGGGAATAAAGGGGAAAGGAGAAAAAATGAATGGGAAATAACAGAAAGGGCACTCTCTGGAGCTCCCCACGCAGCGTGACGACAATCCCCGGGCCTACCGATGCTGGTGCCCTGGGAGTGGCCTACATAAAAGATTCCCTCCTGTCCCGTGTGCCGCACGATGAAGTTGATCGAGGCCAGCAGGTCGTATTTTGCCATCTCGTCAAAATTACAACAGAAAAAGGGAAATTGGAATCCCCTTGCCACTGTTGCGATGCTAACACCTGAAGGTCATGACCCGGGGAGGGAAGGAGAATAGGTGGCGCTGAGGCTCAGCCAGCTGGGCTTGAACTCCTGATAGCCGCTCAGGCGGGCAGCTCAGGGTCCTGGGATTGAGCCCCCCGTCAGGTCTGCCCTGGCCGTGGGGTCCGCTGAGATCCGTCCTCTCCCTCGGCCCTTCCCTCCACCCCTCTTGTGCATTAATGTACCTACTGAATAAACACCTCTGGGAGAACAGAGTCAAGGAAAGAAAAAGCCTTCAAGGTAGTCTTATAAAGAGGCTGTTTATTCTACGTGCAAGGAAATAAACATATATTTATAGGTTATGGGGTGAAAGAAAACAGTTGGGGGGCCAACAAAATGATTAATGCCAATAAAAGTTACTGATTAAAAATGAGAAATGCCCTAAAATCACACAAGTACTCTAATTTTCAAGCCAACATTTGCATAAGTTTGTGATGGTCCGTGAAAAGACCTGATGGAGAGAAGACACTTCTACTTTATTTCGTTTGAAAACAAAACGCAATACTTCACACACTTATAAAATAAGGTGAAAAACATTACTGATATCATTTGTACCTGAAGGCCCAGAATTCTTTGGAATTGGTGTTTAGGTACGTGTGTTTCCGGGACCAGGTCGTCCCTCTGCTGTTCCCCATCCATATGTCATAACCGGCATCTGCCAGAATGAAGCCCACACTGTTGTTAGGGAGATTTGAAATCCAGCTGCTGGCAGATGTGAACAGGCCATGTTGCAAGTATACAACCAGCCTCTGAGCTAGGGGAAAAAATGCAGAAAATTTCTTTTTAAATTTTGTGGTATCTGCACAAGCATCTCCTCTGAAATTCAAGCTTCTAATACACGACGTTGGAAGCTTTAAAGAAAATTTAAAAATTTTTCTACTGTATAAATAGGGTGAATCACCCATGTTTAATCCCATCGTACGTCAGAGTTGGTTAGCACAGATAACTGAAGAATTTTTTCAAGCGACCAGGTGCACGATGCGGTCACGTTTCATTTCTCTCTCCCCCTCCCTCTGCTCGCTCCCTCTCTCTCTCAAACAAAGTAAAATAAAATGAAATAATAAAAACAATCAGATGTATAGGAGTGCCCACATTGCTATCAGACATGTGATTATTCTAATCTTTAAAAGTTCACGTCTCTTCGAGGGCTTCTGATAGAAAATGAGGAGGGGATGATATATTTGGGATTCCCGTGATCACCGGGACACCTTTTGTCGGTCCCAGGCCTGTGCCCCGGCAGCTGTGCAAGGACCAGGGCGTGACCGGTCAGGGGCGCAGTACCCTTCCAGGGAAGGCCAGACTTGCCCCATCAGGGGCGCAGCTGGGCAGGTGGCCACGGGTGGTGCCACCGCGGCGCTGGCATCAGCTGTAGTGGCTTGTGTGGTTCTTTGTTCCCTTGGCCTCCCTCTTGTAGGCTTCCCAGGAACAGGGCCTGCCACCCCCGGTAGCCCTGTGCTGGGTGAAGCGTGCAGGATGTGACAGATCTACGGTCTGGGGGAGGCAGCAGGTGCACCCTGCTGTCTTGGGGCCGCACCTCCCTCCTCCCAGGCAGCGGGGCTGGGCTGGCTGCCCTGGGCGCCCCTTCCAGGTGCTCCTCGGAGTTGCCCCTCCCCGTGCCCCCCCGGCCAAGGGGCAGCCCCTGAACCCACCAGAGCATCTGCCCACCAGTGACCTTGGGCAATGACTAACCCGTGCGGCGATGCCACCCGAGCCCCCCGGCTGCAAGGTGGGGCCCTGGGCCAGCACCCCCTGCCCTGCCCTGGTCCCGTGGGCCTTCTCCGATGGCACAGCCAAGTGACCGCAGGCGCCGGGATCCTGTCTCCGGCCTGGCTTCCTGATGGCTCCGAAGCACCCCGCTGTATCTTTAAAATTACCTTTCAATATGTTATTATAGTATTCGTGAAATCAGGTCAGATGCTGAAAAATGATGACTAGAATTATGTCAGACCTAGGTGAACATTTTACGTCCAGCCGCCGTGACCTTTATACGGACACAGAATGACATTGATCGAAGTTGTTTCAAGTTAGCATCTTCCCTGAAATGCACTTTAGTGTTTAAAACGAGAACTTAAAAGGGTATTTTATGCTACAAGAAACATTCTTTTCAGGGAGACAATCTAAAAAGAAAGCCTAAAATAAAATAAAATAAAATAAAATAAAATAAAATAAAATAAAATAAGGCTGGCTTTTATTTGAGCAATTAGATGAAGAAGCAAAAGGGATCAGGACGCGTTGTGCTGGGAAGCGGCCGATACTGGATCACAGCCCTAGTGACGAAAGGAGGGCCTGATGCCTGTGAGCGCACCTGCGGATGGTGATGCACCTGTCGTGGGCAAGGGGAGCGCGGCTGCACCACCCAGGCCCCTCTGCCATTACTGGAGGAGCCAGGCAAGGCCAGGCCGGGAAGGACACTCTAGCCAGCAATTTATCAGACCTACGGAGACTGGGGCCGGGCACCACGTGTAACCCTTCGCAAAACAAAGAGATGTAGAGAATCCATACGTGTGAGTAAAGCGGCCACAGAGAACACTTAGAACAGCTTGTGTTCCACAACGCTAAAACCAGCCTGTCAACAGGAAGCCACGGAGAGTGGTCCCTCCAGAAGGGAGGCACATAGGGCCCCCGGGGGGCTCAGCGTTGGGCATCTGCCTTGGGCCCGGGGCATGACCCCGGGGTCCTGGGATCAAGTCCCGCATCGTGCTCCCCGCAGAGAGCCTGCTTCTCCCTCTGCCTATGTCTGTCTGGGTCTCTCATTAATAAATAAATAAAATATTAAAAAAAAGAGGGGATCCCTGGGTGGCTCAGCGGTTTTGCACCTGCCTTTGGCCCAGGGCGTGATCCTGGAGACCCGGGATTGAGTCCTGCGTCGGGCTCCCTGCATGGAGCCTGCTTCTCCCTCTGCCTGTGTCTCTGCCTCTCTCTCTCTCTCTATGTCTATCATAAAAAAAATATAAAAAAATATAAAAAAAAAGAAAAAGAGAAAGGCCTGTAGAGACATGTCTGTGCATGTAATCTTTACATCTTTTTCTTGTCCAAAACTCACTGAGAGGAAACGGAAAAGTTAAGAACCCCAGGCCCAGGGAGTTGCCAGTTTGTTCGGAATTGAATCTTACTTGAGTTGTCCTTGTTTATCTTCCCATAAGGAATTCTATAAAGGCCGAGGACGTAACCGTCTTCAGTTACAATATCATACACTTCATCCGGGTAGCCCTAATAGGAAATGATTTGGCTCTTGATAAACAGAAAAAAAGAAGCTGTTTAGGATAAGATAGCTGGTCAATAATGTAACCTGATGCCAATCTGACCTATTAATGTAATAATGGACCTTTGTATTGTCTCTCAAGCTCGGGACTAATTTTTTTCCTGCTAGTTCGCTGATCCGTTCAGTAGCAGCTATTTTAGAACACCTGCCAAACATCAGTCCTACACATTACTAGTTTTCTAACTACTAATCACTCAGACTTTGACCTACTCAGCCATATGCAATTTTAAAATATACGTTGACCCACGAATGTTGGCATGTCTATGCTCATAGCTGAGCTTAGATCTGAAATCTGTGTGTACGTGCATGCATGCAAAAGGGAATTTGTAAGTCCTCCATAAAGGTGTTTGAATATATTTCCATATATTTTCATCCAGGGATGATATAAGGCTGAAGGAGAACCTGGCAGCTAAAGAAGAGTAATGGGGACTATTAGTTGACCTGTATGGAAAGATTTAAATGCAGAAATATATTAAAATAAAAGCCTCCTCCCCCCAATTAAGGAGTAGCGTTTACCAGCAGCTTAGCATTTATTTCCTAGCAACTTAAAATGTTCATGTTCACTTCAGGGTTCCCAGATCGAAAGACAGCTTGGGTAGTTCCCAGAAGGAAAACCAAAGACATCACTCTGAAAAGGAAGGACATGGGGGACCTACAGAGAGAAGGAGTTGCTAATACTATTAAAATGGCAGCAAGTGATACCATTCGACTGTTGAACTAAATCTCTGAGTTAGGGAATATCTCCATTTTCAGGTCAGAAAACCAAAGCTCTGAAAAATTAACTTGTCCAAGGACGTACAATGTGTAATTGGCAGCAAGATTCCAATTCATTCCTGCTTCAGGCCCAGATCCATGCTCTTCCCACTACCCTCTTTTGTAGCACAAACCCCTCTGTGAGGTTTCCATTGTAGACCTGTTTAGCCCAGTTCCAAAAGCCTTATCCTACATTGTAAGTTGATACCTGAATCAATGATGTAATAATATTTACCAGACTAATATTTATTTAAAATATATTTAAAGGTTGTTGGGTTTTTTTTGGGGGGGGATGGGTGAAGAGATTAGGAAGCTTGGATGACTTAACTTTTATGTAGCCTCTCAGCATCTAGATTTTATTGCCTACAGAAATGGGAATTTTGACAAAATCCTAAATTCTGGGAAGCTGGGACTCTTTAAGTTCTTTCTAAAAAAGTAAGAAACCAGGGAACCACCAAGGTCTCTCTCCAAAAACATGGAGCTCATGACCTTGTACAATAAACCAGGCACTATACCTGGAAGGACATTATGCAGAGTTTATAAAACGTCTGGCTCTGCCACTCACAAGCTTTGCGACTTGAAGTTGCTTAACCTCTCTGAGCATCAGTTTCTCCACCGATAGTATGTGAATAACAGCTACTCCTCTGGGCTGTGATAAAACTTAAATTTGGTAAATGTGAGATGATGCTTCGTTAGTAGGATGCTAGTCACATAGCTGACATTTAATACATATTAGATTTCTTCACTTAAGAGAAGAAATGAACACCAGCAACTTAGAGAAATAATTTAAATACAAATAATTGTGTGTGTCTTTCCTATACATTTTGTTAGGTTTAGTCTCCAGTGCGATAATTTAACAATTTGCTGTAAAGTAGCTAGACTTGAAAGTTCTAAACTCCATGTATTTGCTAATTGAAAGCTTTCATTTATGAAAACTGGGCTTTCCCCCTTTTGGTCTAGGTTTGTATTGTATTTGGTATAATGTGTGCGCTCTTTAGGGAAGGCAAAAAGCAAATTTTAAAACGTTGTCACCAAGTTTTTCTACCAAAGAAGAGAGAGAAATTTGCTAATGTAAGTGCATAAGAAAAGCATTTATAACATCTGCAGCCACAATCTAGATACTCTTCTTTGGAGATGTTCTTGGAAAAGTGCTCATTGGGTGGGTGGCAAGGCTACTTGGTTCTCCAATCTCTCTAGTTTCTTGGAAATTGTCCATAGTAAACCGATACTGAAGCTCACTGTGTATACAGGCCTTGTTTCCTAGCAGAGAATTTAAAGTTCTTCGCAGTGTGGCTGGAACAAGTGCAGCATTTATCACCCAGAATGAGAAACTTTTGAAAAACGAATTGACATTAATAATTAACTTGGAAAACAGGCGTAAACTGAACTGTCAGAATATGCAGGGCTTATTTCTGGCTCTTTTCTGTTCCCTTGGTTATGTGTCAGAATTTATGCCAGTAAAACACTGTTTAGATGATTGAAGCTGTGTGGCAAGTTTTGAAATCAGTAAGTGTGAAAACTTCGAGTTGGTTCTTTTCATTGGAATTCTTAACCCAAGAGATTAGTACTTTTTTTTTTTATTGTTCCATCCCACTTTGTGATACATATTGAAAAATGCGTGTGCTCGGTTTTCTGAAGCAGACTTTATAATAAAGTGTCATGGATACAGTTGTCAAAAATCACTCATATGCATATGCAAATGCTAAGAATGATGGTCAGCTTCCATAACTCTTGAAAGAAATAGAAAACAATGAGTCTTGTGATTTTTATCCAAGCTCATTCATTTAGTCATGGATGATTTTTATTTATTTTTTATTTTTTTAAAAAAATAAATTAATTTTTTATTGGTGTTCAATTTACCAACATACAGAATAACACCCAGTGCTCACATGGATGATTTTTAAAAGACTGAGTGTATTGTCAACTCTAATTCAAGACTGCCCTGAAATAAAAGTAAAACTTATCAAATATCCAGTAGTCAAAGAAAAAAAAATGATGGCAGTGTGCCTTAATCTTTTCTCATCAATATGATGGAGGAAAAATGCTCATTTATTACCTTATTAATGTACTACAAATTATGTTTAAGTGGAAGCTTTCCATAATGCCTATCAATAATAATGACCTCACATTTTCCTAACAGGAATCAATATATGGATTTATTTCTAACTAATAACATTATATAAAGTAGCTACAAAAAAAATTGAAAGAACACTTTGTGTGATACTGATAAATTTAGAGTTTATTTTAAACTCTAAGATGAATATAATATTAATAAGACTAATTAACGTAAGCTTTCAAATTAACTCAACTTTGGACAGGTGAATTTTTAAATTGATATACTACCTCAAAGTCAAATTAATTCTCCTAAAATGTTTTTAATTGTCAAAGTAGATGCAAATTTGTAAGAAAAATAATTTATTGGTAGTGAATTCAGTTGCTGAACAACTTTGAAATATGATTGAACACCTTGGATATGTGACATTACTCTTTTAGGCATGAATTTTATGAAATCTGAACACAGACCAAGTATGTCTGATAAAAAATTTAGCTACCAAATTGACATTTTTATAGGAGTAAATTACACACTAGGTTTTAAAGGCTTAAAACAAAAAATGTAAAATATCTCAATAATTTTATAATATTTGCATGTTGAAATGATACTCTGAATATAACAGGTCACTATTAAAGTCATACAGATGTTGTAGAATTAGTAATTCCTACCCCAATAAAGTGTTACTGTTACCTGCAAACTTTGTACTTAACACAGTGGATATCATTATTATGTCATTTTAAGTTGATCACCATAATTTTCATTTATGCTGGCTGCCTGGTGAAATACTATTCCATGGACCAATCACTGGTGCTTTGCTCTGTTTAGGGCAAACTTTTATAAGATATTAAAGATGAAAGTAGAATGGAAAAATTGAGTTTTGTACAAGAACATTAAAATTCAAGGCAACTAAGACTTTAAATAATCATTTTTAAAGATTATCACCCAGTTAGCAAAGTACTTAAAATATGAAGGTACCAAAATCTGTATTATTAATAATACCCAGCTATTCTAAATATAATTCCCTAAAAGCTGGTTTGGGGGTTATTTTTCTTCAGCCTCTGGCATTAAACTGATTAATTTGACTCTAGATCTACGCCACAACAATGAAAGACATTAAAGCCATACCTCTCTGTTCTTGTTGATTTTAGGTGCTTAACATATGTATCTTCAAAGTAGTCAATCATAGATAGTGTTCCTTTTAGCAAAAGTTGCTAAACAGAGTCATAAGGAAGCCAAAAAAATATTATTCTAGAAGAAAAAATAAAATGAAACTTTAACTTCAGTGCAATATCAAATCCAACCTTCTATCATTTTTTAAGCTACTTTCCCATATGCAAAATGAGAGCACATTTACAATGGTTATTAGGGTAGTTTCTCACTGCCTTCAGTTTGAAAAAAAATAAAATTACTAAGACATGATTCCAGTGCTCTGAAAAACCTGAAATAGGTTTTTGTTCTTCCTCCTGGCAGTTACTGCAGCAACAGCATTGAGTTTTAAGTATATATGTATGGTTGGTGTAAAGCACATCAAATATAGAAGCAATAGTCTTAAAAGTATTGCTAGGTTTTGAAGATTTATCCCTATGGACAACATGAGCAAGTTAATTTTTTACTCAAGCCATATGATAGGAAGAATGACATTATTTGAAGTTGGGCTAAGATCATCTTAAAATGTATATTGTAAACCCTAAGGAGACCACCAAAAATGTCTTAAGAAGTATAAATAATAAGCCAATAAAGGAGATTAAATGGAATAATAATAAATGCTCAGTTAAACCCAGAGAAGTAAAAAAGAGATAAAGAACATCTAAGCGCAGCAGCAACTTGGTAGATCTTAATAATCACCTTATATGCAAATGGTCTCAGTACACTAGGTAAAGACAGAGACTGTCAGATTAAATTTTTAAAAAGCAGGACTGAACTGTGTGCTCTGTACAAGAAATTCATGTTAAACACAGATACTTAAGTTAAAAGGGTAGATCAAAATATACCAAAAGAAGGCTGGACTAATTATGTTAATTTCAAACAAAGTTGAATCAGAAAAAGGAATGCTAAAAAAAAAAAAAGAAATAAAAAAAAGAAAAATGCTATTATAAAGAGGAAGTTTACCTAATGATATGGAGTCAATTCTCCAAGATGACACTATAATCCTAAATGTCTATATCTCTAACAACAAAGACTTAAATATATAAGGTAAAAACTGATAGATCTGGGAAGAGAAAGAAATAAGTCTGCAACTATTTTTGATGACTTTGGCTCTCCTTTTTTGGTAATTGGTAGAATGAGTAGACAATAAATTAGCAAGGATATAAATAACCTGAAAAATACTATCAACCAACTTGAGTTAATTGACATGTATAAAACATTCTATACAAGAGCAGAATACATATCCATCACCACCATACAAGAAACATTCACCAACAGTCTGCCCATAGAAAAGACCCATAGAATCC